AGCACTGATTTGAAAGAGTTTGCCAGCAGTGCAGTTAGTCACACATGTCCTACAGCTATTAACAGTAATCTCTTTATATGTGATTTAATAAATGACTTGTTTTATACCATGAAATGGTACTTTTGGCTAATAAGTACTTAAAATAACTACTTGAACTCCATTTCAAAGCCAAGACTTGAATCCACCATTTCACCCTGTGACTCAGTCTGACTAAAATGTGGTTTTAGGATCACAGGTTTGAGTAGGGTTTTGGTTTTGAACATGACAATAGCTAGGAAAATGTTGATTGTGCTATTATTTACAGTGACTATTAAAAATTGTACCTACTGGCTGTCTTTACTGAGAGACAGATGAGAAGACTGATACCAGCAGCCAGGTACTAGAGATTAGTTTACTATGAAGTCTATAAAAAGGGGAAAACCCTTGCCTGGCTCTGTCTGACGATAAAAACATCTGCCTACCAGCAATTCTTTTGATGAGCTTACTTATGAACAAAAACTGTAGTTAAAAAACAATATGCAACTTGAGTTGAGAGTTAATGAGCCTGACTATTCCTTGGCGAGGAGAAGTACATTTCTGAAGTCTTGTTGTTGAAAAAAGAGACTAAAGACACATGATTCGACATTTGAGGGGTCACTGGCAAGAAAGCCAAAGGATTAGTACATTATGACAATATATGGTGTCTGATAAGTAGTGTCAGCTGATGCACCTACAGCTTTCTAATACAAATTTAAAGGTGTTTCCTGTCCCTTAAGCTACTGTTTTCTTGTTATCCAGACAACCAGCTGCGAGAACAATATTGCTTCTCCACACATGACCAAATTTGACCAGAATCATGTCCATATGGCTGAAGCATAAGGTCGTCTACACAATGTCGACACAATACAAGTTTGTGTCAGGTCATCTACACTATAGTCTCTGCTGGTTTTGTGGCAACCTCAAGGTGACGACGAGGTTATACAAAGTTAATGCACCCAGCCAAGAAGTAGTCAGGCACATAACCCTGTATTAAAAATGTAATTCGATGTTTTTAGGCTTCGGTTTTTGTACAAATCAAAAACATGTTTAGTCACAAGCTTTCGGTCAAGTCCACATGTGCAGGGATATTTTTAAAAAAAAAAAAAAAAAGTGGTGTTTCTCTTCCACAAAAGCAGTGTGAAATCTCCGTCCAGTCGAAAACACAACTGAAGCGTTGTCAAGAGCATGCCAAACCAACAGCAAAGAAGAAGATGTTGACCACTTGGTTTCTGAAAATCTTTTACATAAGGTCAGCTTTCGGTGAATTAAAATGCAGTCTGCATGTATGAATGGCTGAAACACATAAAAAAAGGTACTTTTTTTTTTAAATATACCTGTGCACATTTGGACCAGGCCCTGGAGGTGCTAACAGGCAGATCTTATTGCCTTAGGACAGAGTCAGGCTGATTCTTGTGTCTCCAGTGTTAATGCTGATTCAAGATAGCTGGCTGTAGCTTCATATTGAGAGTAACATCGATCCTCTCATGTCTCTCTCCGGCAGAGACAGAATTTCCCAAAAGTACATTCCCTTCTCATAAAGGAACAACTGCAGCAACAAGCAATAATTACTAAACATTTTTGTTTCATCAATGTTTATTTATACCTTTCAGCGTCATATTTCAAATATATTTTTCCTCTAAAATACTTCAGTACATGACAGAGATATACAACAATCAGCACTGTTTGATACCCCTCTCCCCTTTCTACCCATGAAAGGTGCATTTCACATCTTTTGTTCCAAAATGGATCAATACATAGACTGGTGTATGCTGTAAAACCTGACAGTCAGCATGTGTTTTATCATTGTGACCGATGCACTGTTTCCCAAAATGTACTTAAAATACGAAGACAATGCTTGTCACAGTGAGTTACGACAGTCAGGTGAGCCCTAAAAAAGTAATTTATAAGGTTTTAAGGCTTATCACTTTGAAGCTGCTTGGTGAAACGTTTGATGCCACAGTTCGTCGAAGTCCACTGGAGCACTGTGATTCAGTTATTTGTGGACTTGCAAGGTGTGTGTCAGATGATCAGAAAGTATCATATTCAAAATTACTATTATTTTGTTTCCCCCTTTTAAACTTTCTTTTTTTGGAAACCAGGGCAAGGGTCACAGCGTTTTGTGGAAAAGGTCATTCCAGTCTGTAAACCAAGGCTGTAACACCCTCATAAGGTTTTAAGTAACATCACAGGGAAGCATGACCCTAGAGTGTTACTAGCACTCAGACACTGATTGTTTCACAATGTCTATTTCCCACAAATAACAACAAAACAAACAAACAAAAACAAAGAGAATATAACTTCTGAACATGTACCTCAGTTTATTACTGTTGCCAGGAGGAGTACTCAATCTATTGCCACGCAGTTGCTCAGTGTATTGGCAGCTTTTGCAGTTAATAAGGGGACAGAGGCTGAGTAGTTCCAGACAGTCCTTTTGCAGGTCACTTCCAGACAGTACAGACAGTATACAGTAGATGGAAGATTAACAGTCGGTTTGTCAGTCCAGTTGTTGTTATCTATCTGTGTATGTACTGTATATGTGTGTGTGCATGTGCAGCTCTACAGGGGCTGAGTAAGCAGATGAACGGGCATGTTGCTAACAGGAAGTGGGAAATGATCAAGAGGCTCACGTTTAACGGACACAAACAAGATCCCAAAATTCTGTTCCTTTTGTGAAGACACTGAGCACTGGTGCTTCACTGACTTCACCCACATTAGAGGGTTGCAACTAAAATAGATTGACTGTGTCATCTACTGGATAAGAGAAAGTCAAACTTTTCAAATTTCATAGCTAGTTCATGTGGTAAACATGTAGCTAGTTGTCTTATCTTTGGTTTGTCTTTATCAAAAAATTTAAAACTGGATTTGAAATCAAGTTAAATCTAGAGGTGCCTTCAGTGTGCCCAGAATACAGTAAGTGGTTTTTACTTTTCAACAGTCCATCACATTGTGTTTGCTGGCTTAAAACCACAGAAAATAATTTCACTGCAGTTGAACTTGCTTCGTTCGTGCAGTTTATAATGTTAAGGTCAAATATGTTCTGATGGACCTTCAACCTGCTCTCACACTCAGAAATATCAGTCATATTCATTTCTGTTCTATAATATCTGACCGTTGTGCTACACATCTCCATGTGCTTACCCACAGCACTGTATGTCACATATTATCGACAAAAGCTTTTCATTTTGTTGCTTTTTAAAATGTCCCCTTTATTGACAGGTGTTACTTTGAAACAAATGCAGCACATAATGTAATTTCCTGCTGAAATAATAAATGTCACTTGAATTGTAAGTTATGATTTCAGCATGTGATTTTATTATGGAAGATATATGCAGACCTCACTCTGTATCTGTCCGTGACACAGCATGAGAGAAATGAAGAGTTGCTACAGGTGTGATAACACTCTTAATACTGTGAAATGGTAATTTCTAAACCATTATTGAAATGGTTTGTATTAAAACAACAACAAAGAGACAGTTGCTTGATTTACATTTGCTTGAAAACACTGTTTCCCATTTGGACGGTCATCTACTGGGAATCAAGCGCTGTTTATGATGACTCAGAGTTGTCTGTAGTGTGCCAGTTTGGATTTCGTTCGCTGCAAATAAAAGCAAAACAAAACAAAAACAAACATTGCTCTATTATACAGGATTTGATGGAAACAGTAGCCATCAATTCCCCACCTTTCCATATTGCCACATATTTTTAATACACACCAGTCAACACAATGATAACTGAAATGCTCAGCAGTGGGTTGAATTATTTACGCATGTGTATGTTATGCTTTGATATTCTGAAAAAAATGCAATGTCTTCCACTTTAAACTTGAGCTATAAATTTTCATAAAAAGCCAAAACACAACCAAAGTGTGTTTTGTGTCAGTTTTGGGAACAAACAAAGGTTACAGACAATATATTTTAAGATTCCACTCTGTGTCTGTTAATTTGCAGCTGATGTATGTCCAAATGCAATGACAACAATGGTTCCCCCTGTTACTACTGCCATTCAAATATAAGGCAATATGAGGAATGAGTTGACAGTTAGCACGGTGAAATGCCATGCACACCGATGCTTAATGAGATTTCTAAAATGTATTTAGTACTACATGGTTAACGTACTGACCCACAGTGTGCTGCTTTGATGCTGAGTAACGCTCATGATACTGTACAACCTAAGCTGATATAAATACCACATGTAGCCCTTGGCCACATCGCCTGGTGGAATTGGAGGTGTTGCAACGGATGCCTAAAAACAAACACTTTTGTTATGTTGTGTTTGGGGAAAAAATAACAGAGGCATTTTGAGGAGATTTTAAAAAGAAAGAAACATTTTCAGCTCAGAGTATATGATTGCAGAATGAACAAGCTACATTTACAGGAAAGCATGTCACTCAAATTCTCCATTCAGGTGCAGCCTGCCATCAGGTGCACTCATTGCACCCAAGCAGATTCATGGCAGACATAAAGCTAGGGATGCAGGGACATTGAGAGTTTGCTTACAGTAGGTTTCAAATGATTTCCATGTTCTTATAATAAACTACTGTCAGTGGAGCTTCACAGATATGTCCAACATGCCTTACACAGCTTTGAGTATGCTAAAAGCTGGTGATGACACAATATGATGCTCTACACATACAGTAACCATTAGTGCCAGATTAACATGGACACTGCCACTCACACCAGACTGGGGCAAATCAAATAGGCACATTATTTCTCTGTTATGTACTATTTATGATTGTAAAATCATTAATGCTATTTGTAGCGACCCAAATTATGAAAAACTTTAAAAAAAGAAAGTGCAATGATCAAACAAACATGACATGACAAAGGCAAAAGTACACAAGGACTGATTCACATGTAATGCACGTGTTAATGAAGCACATCAGCATACACAAGTAGATCAGATACTGGATCAGGGTGAGTAGTGAAAGTGGAGATCTCTTGAGTTGCAGCACAATGCAACAATACGCTCTCTCCCATGAAAGATTAAAATAGCTACAGCTTTAATTATGGAGTTCTTATGAATGGTGAATACACTGGTTATTATAAATCATAACTGACAAGTCATGAAAGAAGTACCCATGTATTTTGGACAAGATGTTTCTTTTTTTCTGCCATCTTAAATGCAATCATAAACTATTGTATATAGAGCTATAGATATGAGTATTGCTTAACTTTAACAATCATATCTATGTGATTATGAAAAACCGTTTACGCTACAGACATTCAACGTTAATTAAACAATGACAGAGAATCTGATATGCAATCCACGCTGCACACCCGCCAGATACTGACAATCTTCATCTTTCACTCGTGTGAAAGAAGTGTATGGGAAATTCATACATGACATTCAATAACCTGTGGAGGAAGAAGTATTCAGCTGAACTCCAGGCTCCGTTCTGCTCTCCCGTACCACACTGTGTTTTTCTCTACATTAGAGACATGTCCGGCTATTCTGTTGTGGTTGATAAATCCGGAACATCTGAGTCATGATGTCCAGGGATGGGAAGTTCATGGTAAGGGAGCAGAAATGTGAAAATTGCATCTACCATCCATTGTTTTCCGTCCGGTTCATTCACAGATGAGACATGTATTTGAGGCAGAGGGTGAGCTGAGGGCCTGGTTGTGATGTCAGCAAGGAAACCGTGTGTTTGTACATGTGTGTGTGTGTGTGTGTGTGTGTGTGTGTTCAGTATGTGCCAAGAAAAGTTGAGGTTTCTATCCAGGTGGCTTGGGTCATCCTCGCATTTCCCTCCTCGCGCTCAACTCAGGTTCTGGATCACAAATCGTCTTCTCTTCTTCTCATAAATATTAATATAATACTTTATTAACCATTGCCCTTGACCCTTGTAACGCCATAAACAAAACAAAAACAAAAAAGCAAAATATCAAAAAGGTATAGGTCTGACAAATTGCAACATCACATAATAAGTAGAATAAAACCCAAAGGATCAGCAGAGGTTGTATAAATGTTGTGCTTCTTTAATTTCACTTTGTAAAGTCCTCCACTGTCCTAGTTGTGTTTTAGTTTAAACCTTGTTATATTTAATATATATAGAGATAAATGTACACGTATAATCCGCACTGAGGTTCGTCTCTTGTGGCAAGCAGAGGGCAAGCAGAGAGGCTACCAGGAGCGCACTTCTTTATCCCTCTGTCTCTGGTTCGTCCTTTCCTCAGCATTCATTCGTTTATTCATTCATTCATTCATCAGTGTTTTTTCTCTTCGTCCGTCTCTTTGTCATTCAGTAGCTCCCATGGTCCCAAAGGCTGGTACTGAAGGGAGACGGTCTTTGTGGAAAAAGAAGGATTTTACCCACTTTCTCCTTTTCACTCCTTCACTTTCTTCCTGGAATCCCTGTTCCCTTGTTTTATTCCCTCAGGTCCTTTGTCATCTTTGGTAGAGTGTCCGACACTTTGGTGTGTCTGGGGAATAGGGTGGAGGGGCCGTTGAGGGAGTGGAGATACATGAGAGGGTGCATGTATGGATGAGGGAGGTTGATGAAGGAGAGGAAAAGGTGACAAAGTGACACGCTGACATGGATAAAGTGTAAGTGTGTAAGTGTAAGTGTATCTAATCAGATTAATAGTGACAAAGGAGAGAAGTGAAACTCGACTGTCAAAAATCATTAAGTATGTTCACCTTAAATACAGTATGCTCGTCAGTTGGTTATACTGAGTGTCTTGGGGGGGGTAAATGTTCAAAGAAAGCAGAGGAGGAGAAACTAGACAAAGACATTGTGTTACCATTTATCTAAGCAAGAAGGATGAAATGGATGCATGAAGGATAGAGAGACATTGAGTGGAGAAGGACAGACAGTCAGGGAGACATAAGTAGAGGAAAGGACAGGGAGAAGGGTAAAGAGAGAAGTATAAGAGCGCAAGTCAGGGCAGTGTCTGTCACTACAGACAGGTGGCATCGCAGGAAGTGCTCATCATCTGTAGAGTAGTGACAGGAAGCAGGAGAGGCCAAAGGTCAGCCAGCTGGCCAATGGGAGCGAGTGTGATCCACCAATCAGAACTACGGGGGAAAAAGAAGAGAGTCTTATTAGTTCAAACATAAAACACTTACAGACACCTGGCTCTGCTGTTTATTCATGACTTTAAAAGGTTTTATAGTTAAGTTTCCTCAGACACATGAAGCTTACTCACTCTCCACCGTTCCATTTTTGTAACACACTCCTGTAATTACAGGCGCACCGAACAATCGTGAGTGCTTTGTACACTCTAGCAATTTATTAATACAAGAAAAAAGATTGCCTTTTATCACTGACTGATGTTACATTTTACATTTGCTTTGTGACTGTCAGGGTTCAACAGTTAATTCACATTTTAATAAACAGCTCAGAGTAAGACATGTAGTCTGCTGTTGGATTGCATTTCATCTGAAGGTGTTGTGACACTGCCACAAAGGTGAGGGGAGAGACATGTACAGTATTGTTAGAGGGTTCCTGAGTAGAACAGCCTTCAAATATACTGTGACTAGGCTCGTTCAAGATGAACGAGAGCGGGCAGCTGCAGCAGGGGGCGGTGACAACAAGCTGCGGTCAAGTCAGTCAATTAAAGAAATGTTAGATCAGGCGAGAGCCAGGGGTTTCCCATCATGCTCCGGGTCTCGCAGTCAGTGGAGAGCAACTGCAGCGCCTGGCTCTAAAAACTGCAGCTGCCTTGCTCTTGCAAGATTATCGCTGTCCACTTTTTGAATTTGCGCAGGCCTGGCTCATCTCGAATGAGCCTAATGTGCCTTGCCTTGTCTCCCTCTCGCCCTTGCTGCACACAGGCGAAGGGGTGTGGCCTTTGGGAACAAAGAGGAATTGTTTGGGGAGGGTTTTTTGATTTTGTTTGCCGAGGACAGGAGGCCGGTGGTGGAAACCAGACAGCCCGGGTTGGGAAAAAAAAAAATAGATTCTTGCTTTTGGTGTTTCCTCACCCGGGTGTGTGGAGGATAGAAAAGTACCGAGCAAACTAACAAGTAGGCCCTGATTGTTTCTTTTATGGATTTCCCCCCTGGTGAGTTTGATTCCTTTTTTGGGGGGGGATATATATTTTATTTTTTTTGCAATGCATTGTTTTCACCTGGTTCCTATTTTTTCATTTTAAACAGTGGATATTGGACATTTCTTCTTCACTTGGATTATCTTAAATTGAACAAAGGAGATAATTATTAAAGCTGATATCCTCAGATTATCTTTTTTTTCTCCTATATTTTCATTTGGGGAGGGGAATAATATATAAATAAATCATGTTTGAGCCTATTTAAGTTTCCTTTAGTACATTCTTCTACTGGTGTCAGTAGGGAGCTGAGGGCAGGCCCCTTATTTTGTCCACCCTCCTTTAACCACGTTAAAGTTATCACTGTAAGTTTTGACTTTAACTCATTACAAAGCTATAAGGGTACGCTGATTGTTGTAGTATACTATGCAGGATTGTCGGTTAGACGCTCAGCAATGGAAATGAAAGCAAAACCCAGATACACTCTGGTTTGGCATTTCACTTTAATCTATTTGCATTTTTTGGATGCCTGCTGCTTACAGTCTGGCACCTGGTTGCTACCTTTTAATAAAGCTCTGATCTCACCTGAGCACTGTGGGGGTACACTCCTAAAAACACCCCCAACACAGAAAATAAAAAGAAAATGAGAGAATACAGGCCGAGGGCAGAGTCTCTGCAGAAAAATACAGGGCATATTGAGAGTGATTATTTCTATATGAGTCTATACATTATTTTGTTAGGAAAATCCTGCATTGTATATTATATCTTTAAATTTAAAGATATGTGGACATTAATATAATTACCCACTTCATTGTTAATTTTATCAATGGTTGAACAATAAAACATCTATAAAACATACATCTGGGTCACCTTTCACTCCCTAAATGCACTGTATACAGTGTATATCAAACCAATGGTGTAAATATGACATAATTCTTAGTCCCTCGTAAACTGCATTTAATAAATAGCAGGCTAACCTTGACATTACATTAACCACAGGCTAAGTAGAACTGTACATGTATATATTTATCTTTTTGGCCTGAGGCTGTCTTTAAGCCGGGGGCTGACTGCAGAGGCATGTGAAATGAAAAAGCCCTGGTGTGGCAGCGAGTTTACACTTTTCTTTTGTGTAACGAGGAGCATCTTTTGAACAATACCAAACCGTGTTACTGATGTTGAAAGCAGGAGGAGGGTTGTAGAAAAATGGATCTGTGTTTTATGATCTCACGTGGAGGAAAGAGACTGTCAAGGAAGAAAGAAAGAGTTGAGTGGAGAAGAAGGATGGGGAAAGAGACAGAGCCAAGAACGAGGGGGCAGATGAGTAAACAAGTGAAAGAAACAGAGGGATTCACCATTGAGATCCTACACTTCGTCATGACAGCTTTGAGATTTTAATGAGAAAAAGAAGTTGCAATTGATGTCATCATCACCAATATGTGATGGATTGTTTTCCTTCGATTCTTTCCCCCCTGCACGTTGTTATTGTTTGTGCGCAGTCAGGAGATGAAGCACACACATCTTCTATGAGGTGTGATTTGGTTGTTCAGAACCCTTCCGCTGATAAGACTTCAGATCATCTCAGATTTCCTATTTATTTTCTTTTCTGTGAAAATCTTACAGTCCCACACAGGAGCAGTGTACAGTACAAAAACACACTCCTTCCCTTCTTTGCCATACATACAGTGCACTCTCTCTTTTACTGTATGCACAGCATCACAAAAATGCAGCAACAAATTAAGCAACATGCATGCTGCTCAAAGACACTTTCATAAATAAGAAGTAGGTATTGTATTAAAAAGATCAATATGATTTCATATCAAGGGTCCATCCTCCAGGCAGAAAATCAATATTTATAATAAAGCTTTGATCCGTACGCAGCAGACACACACACTCCCACACACATATACAAAAAGATTCCTACGATATAGTTTGCAGGCAACAGATTGAAGTGGAACATGGTGTTTTACATCTCTCTGTCTATCTGTTTTTCTCTCTCAACCCATCCTATCGCCTCTCTCTATGCGAAGTCATGTAGGGAGTAGGACTGTTTATTTCAGTGATTGCAAGTAAGTGATACAGGTCTATACATGGATGATATAATGGATTACTATGGCTGTATACCATTTGTGTGTGTAAGTGTACGTGTGTGTGGTGGGTGGTTTCATGTGTGTCACAGTCAAGATGGTGCACAGGCATTTTAATCCACTCACATAAATCAGAGCTTCTAAACCTGCTTCTTTGTGCTGCACTTGTGCTGCAACCAACAAGAAAATGATTGTCTCTTTAGCTAACAGTCTCTTTATGATCACAGGAAGTTAAACTTTTAAAATTACTACAGAGACTGTCGGTGTCAATGCCAATTAGATCCTGCTGTGCTACTTCTATTAATAAAATACATTAAAGGAGCTCTAGACAATATTCAGAGTGAATCTACGGTATGATTCAGAGGTTGTGTGCACACAGCTCTCAACATGGAGGTAGCTGAGCTGGCGGCTAGCAGCTAACGGTGCTAACTGAGCAAATAGTGCTAACAACAGCTTCTGTGCTGGCAGAGCCAATGGGGGAAACCAGAGGGTGGCTGCTTCACTTCTGCAACAATGCCGTCCCAGAATCGGCTGTATTCTTATGAGTGCAGTGCAGAGCGATTAGTGGGATACTAGTGATGGGTGTTTTTTTGTTTGTTTGTTTTTTTTCATTTTACAGTTCCCATGTAGTTCCCTCCAAGTTGATACAGGTAAATTCATTGAACCTTCCAAACCTTATGATACATTTTGCAAGATATGGCAGCAATTCAATTTAAAATACTGTAAGTTTACATTAATAAAGCTTATATTCATTTTAATGCATTTCCACGCCATGTAGACCATGTAAGCCTCTTTGAGGGCAAGTTACCTCAGCAGCCTTATGCTGCATTCACTGGTGTCATAAAAATCTGAAAAAATTAGTCTCCCAGCATTTTTTGTGGCTCACCTGATGTGCTCTGTATTATTAACGTGTTGTTTAAATGCCCTGAGCAATAAAATACAACACATCCTCTTTATAGCGTCCATGTTGTTTCCACATTACAACTTAAACCTCATTAAAGGGAAATTTCGGTTTATTTCAACCTGTCTCCTATCGTCCTAAATTTGTTTCAAGTGACTAGTGATATAAAAATAATAGTTAGCATGTTAGCCTTTAGCCTAGATACATCCGGGGCTCATAGTAGCTTCAGACCTGTTAAAATGTAAGTGAATGGGCATTCTTCAAGTGCAAAGTTAGTCCACTAAACAAGCTTTTTTTCCACAAAGACCGCCTCATATCGTTAGGATAAATGTCAGAGAACATATAGAAAACGACTTGTAAACGTGTTGTCTTACCTTACCTGCATGGTGCCATGTTTGTTTATCCCTCTAGCTCTGCTTTCCAAAGCGTGGCCGAAATATATCTCACCAGCTCTAGATAAAGCCCAGCTGGATACTAACGTTACTCCAGGTGGAGGTGTCTTGTCCTCGGTCACATCCAGACCTTGAAAATAAGGCTGCAACCGGTCCCATTCCTTGCAACAGAGGCATTCGTCTTCTGTGGGCACTGGGGCACAGCATTCACAGGTACACCACCAATCTCCAGAGCTACGCAGCCTTGCAGCAGCCATTCCTCCTCTCTCGTCCTCTACCTGTTGCGCCTCTCTCTCTCTCCTCCTCCTTTCTTCAATTTCACAAAGCTCTTCGTCAGTGTATTCTGGCTCAAATAAATAAGGGCGGCCATCAAACTCTGCAAAATCAAATTCCTCCTCCACAAAGTCAAAGTCTGGCAAAGTCTGTTCTCGCGAGATTTCAGGCACGCTATGAGATCGCTGCTTGTTCTCGCGATATTTCGGTTGCGCTTTGGAAAGCAGAGCTAAATGGTAAACAAACATGGCAGCACACCGGTAAGGTAAGACAACACGTTTACATGTCGTTTTCTATATGTTCTCTGACATTTATTCTAACCATATGAGGCGGTCTTTGTGGTAAAAAGCTTGTTTAGTGCACTTTTAACTTTGCACTT